CGACGAAACTCCCTTAAGTACATCAAAATCCCATACTCATGAGCACATCAAATTTTTTGTAACTGTTGAAGTTCAAAACGCATTTGACGAATTCGGGTGTGTAATCATGCTACCACGACCGGATAATAAGTAGAAACAGATAAACTAATTCGATACGACAGTGTAGTGCAGCGTTTTACTGCGGCAATTTTCGAGCATTTGGTCATCATTCATCATCATTATACACGTTAGCTAGAGATGGGAGACATCTCAACTAGTGTGACGCAATGCATAGAAGAAAAAAGGAGAGAAAAATGCAACTGGTGCAAGCCAGTTGAGCTACCGGTAACGGATGGGCATCGTTCCGGTAATCTACCTGCCGGCTACTATGCAGCAGAAAAAGAAATATTTTACTATGCAAAATTATAAAATGTTAAATAATGAGATCGTAGTTGGAGGGGGGAAGCTAAGAGGGATGGGTTGGGACAAAGAAACTCACAGCACGAACGCCACTGAGGTCGACTCCTAGCCATATCAGCAAGTGTATCCAGCCAAACGTGTTCATCGTCTTTCGGACCCCAACCAGGGAGCCGAGACGCACCAACCGAGACCAGCTCCGAAGTGAGGGCCTTCATTCCTCTCGATCGAGTCATTGCTTGGCCTCTCCTCCTCCTCTTCAAACGGCACCCCGGCGCGCAAACAATGAACGTCGCGGGAGTCGGGGTGCTGGCATGCGCAACACGTCGCCCAGCCGTCGGAGCGTAGTGCGTGATATAATGGTGCTGAGCGGTGCACTCGCTCTTCCTGCACCAAATACGCGACGCCGAACAGGCTCATTGCTCACGCGGTGCTCTCACCAGACATGAGCTAAGCTACGGAGGCAGCAATGAGCGAACGTGGCTAGCCGCTTTATGTCTGCCGACCTATTGGGAAAGGTTTCACAACCGTATAAGAGGATTGAAGGGACGGCTGCGTTATAAACTCTGCCCTTCACGGCGAGAGTAATGTCGCGTCTGCGCCAGACTTTCCTATCGTTCCAGTCCCATCTGAATCTGAATCGAATTATAGTGAAGCGATGCTACCTCAGAACAAAAACGGAGGAGATTTCGGTGGACGACAATGAAATTTCATAGTAGGGTGTACAGTGCGCAAGTGGTCCATACTGCTGATCATGGCAATACGGTGGCAATCAGATAACGGTATAAAATTAACGCATTGCCAGCAAGGGACAAACTGACAAAAGCGGTGATCGGCAGTATCCGTTTTCGGACTACGCTGTCACTGAGACAGCGAACAGTCAAAGGACATCGCGCCTACTGGTTGCGCTACACCACGAGCACAGCTGTGCACCCATCCACACACCCCACATCCAGCGTGAACACGAGGGAATAAGGCATGTGGATTTTGGGATCCGGCTGACACTTCTTCCGATGAAAAACTTACGGAGACAGCGTTCTAAGCGTGAGTACGACAGATGATGACTGAAATGCGCTTTTGAAGCACTGCGTATCCGTCACCCGAAGTAACACCTTACGGTGCGCGAGTACTGGACGAGTACTGGACAGTGTGACGGCAGTCGCACCAAACAAGGGAATGCGCATGGAGAACGGTAGGACAACAAAGTCTCTCGTAGACAGCGCAAGCGCTGCAGAAATAGAATATCACGTGCAGCACGCATCAGCCGCAATGTGGACAACAAGTCAGCAAATAGTGCACTTCGCATGCAGATGATGTGAGGTCCGGAAAGCGTCATGCGCGAGGGCGCGCACGCGTGACGACGGCAGGTGTGATGTGGTGAGACAATTTCACACGTTTTATCTGCGGAGGTGAAAAAGTGAGCAACGAAGAATCGATGGAAAACAAGGTAGCAATAGGAAACATACATGACTCGATGTTCTTCGGATCCTTCTCGTCCAAATTTGCCGGATACCATAGTAGTGTTTCACGCGGTTCCGTGTTCTTCTCCAAATCTGACGCTCGATCTGTGTGCGTGTGTGTGTGTGGACATGGGAGAGAGCGAGATGGAAAAAAGTTAGAAGAGGCCAGATTATCTGGGCGTCGTAAAAAGTAAGAAACTGACGCAGTTACGTGCGTATATGCGTGTAACGTTTAACCAGGTGGGAGTGATCACAACTTAGATCGAAATGGGGGGTCTGAGTAAATTCGTCCAATTGTAAGTGGTATGGGGTCTGATGCGATCGGGTTGTTATCAAGTGTGTGGGACAGTATCGTTCAGCCATCGATACAACGAGAAGCTGTGATCGGAATGACTATTTCTGAATGATAGAAGAACAGTACAATTGCTGACTAAAAACCGATGCACGAAGTCAAAGTCAACATGAACAGTTCAGCTGTCCTAATTCGTGACACTATGATGACAAGCAACAGGAACAACAAATACGGTAGAATTAGCGGCAAAAAAAGATTTCGAGAATAGGTGAGACAAGGTTAGCCGCTAGATGTAGGAGTGCTACTGAGCTCGCGACCGCGTCAAGTTGTGTCATGTGGTAGATCTCGAGACCTCTATACACTTGCCATCTTCAGCAAGCCTTCCAGCCAATTCTCTCAAGTCATTCAACAACATAACCGAAAGGGCGTTAGCACATTCTGCCGGCGAAGTTTTGCTGTCAGGGAATACAACCACCAGCACATTTTTTGTGTTAGCTTCTTAATCGCTAGTTGAAGAGGGAAGCATTAACAGAGAAGTAACCTGTCGCTGGTTGAGACAAGCAAGCAAGTTTGCTTTCAGGCTCCAATAGTTGTCCAAGCGAAAAGCAGAAGGGTGAGACCTTTCGAGGGAATATCCTAGATGGACGCAAGTTCGTAGGAGATGGTTTCACGGATGTCCGTGTCACATCAATTCCACGTTTTTTCGATTTCTCCATTTGTTATTATTTCCAATGTATACACTCTAATGCAGTTTACAACAAATTCGTTTGTAAACCGCATTTTATGCGAGCTAACTCTATATCTATTCTATCGGAATACTGAGTTGGACTGTGTCTCGCGTTTTCGTAAAATATGCCTTTGATTCGGAATACCTGTAGGTCGGTTGATAGTTAATGTTTTGAGCCGTTCTCCGAGCTGAGTAATTTAATGACAAACGTTTCACCACTTCCCTCAGTGGCATCTTCAGTGCACTGCTCCGGAAAGTGTCGTCGGGACGTAGCGTTTGAAATTAGCCTCGCCGATCTGTGTCCCGTGACCTCAGATAAGGAAGGACACAAGGTTAACGGACAAAACAGAAATTCTGCCGCACAGAGGGACAAGAAAAAGCAGGGAATTCCTCGAGGCATGGTTCCCTACGGAGAATTCACGGAACCTCCGCATTGACCTGGATCCCGTGTACCTACAGCTGAGAAAGCGTGAAACTGGACGGCCAAATATCGAACAAACAGAGGTCACGGGACACAGATCGACAAGGCTACTTTCAAACGCTACGCTCCGAGGACAATTTCCGTGAGATTTCCTCTACGGAGCAGTGCACTGAAGATGCCACTGAGGGAAGTGGTGAAACGTTTGTCATTAAATTACTCAGCTCGGAGAACGAATCAAAATGTTAAATATGCCGTTTATTTGTTAAAACGAAACCGATTAGGTCCGCGATGCCACTTCACACGTCAGCACGACTCCTCGATGCTTTACCGTGCAAGTGACTAGCACTGACACCTGTCAACACACAGTTACAATTGCAAAAGCAGCGATGTAAAAAGTACGTGAACCTGAAGAATACAACTTGTTCAATTAAAAACGAAAGCAGCACCAGCTGCTGAATCTGAGTTTCTCACATGCCCGGAAAAACACTAGACGGTTTATTGAAGGACAAGTTGGAGTACATGCTGGGTGCTTGGATCGCGACGCGCGATCTCAAAGTGGATTGTGGATTCGCATTGCGGTGAAGCTTGGTCAATCCGAACACTAGAATCGTAAGTTAAGGCAGATGGAAGCTGAGTGTTGCCCGCAGTGTTTTGGTTGGGGGGGGGCAGGGGGCGGAGAACACTCAACTTTCAGCTACTAGACGGGTTTTTTGAACTGGTGATCTTCGTCAATAGTTCGCATCCATCGGATCCATCAACAGCCGAATACCCAAGATTCCCAGCGGTTCGAAGTGCCATGCAGCACCTCATGCCACTGCGTCATAATGGACAGCGGCGAACCGGGATGTTAAGGCAAATTCAGCGTCCTTTCCACCTCGGTACGTCTGCAGTTGCAATGATGTTATGCCAAGGCGGTTGGCCAATTGTGTAGGGAAGCAAGGGAAAATAGCGATGAATTGCGTGGCAGCGCATACACAGTTAGCGTTACGTCTTCATTACTTTAATCGCGGCGCCCTGATTGATCAAATGTAACGTGGAAGTGAACGTGTTTTCTCTGTCCCAAGAGTACGGTTATCTACACACGTCCTATGCTCGCCACAGAACGACTAGGAGGCTAACGTGGAAATAAACAGATGAGTCGCGCGTGTGCCAAAGGTAATGCGAAATCACATATAACAGACACATGTTGGAACCGATGAACTGTGGATCACAAGGCAGACAACGCATCGACCACCACAGCCATTTCGAGGATGAATTCGGTAGTGTGCGACAACAGGATGCAATCCTCGTCTAAATGGATCAATTAACCGGCACAAGAAAGACACAACCATGCCAACGCAAGGGGTTTGGGCCGGAAAGGGAAACTCCGAAGAGGCACCAGAGGAGCTCGGTGAAAAGACCGACTGTCAGACTTCCAAACTGATCACCCGGCACTCCCATCAGACGTGCGCAGAACTTCGCAAACACCAGGGACCAAAGAAGATCAGTTTGTTGAGAACTGCAGCACGAAGTGGTAATACTCTGTATCCATAAAGAAAACGCAGTACAAGCATGCCATTTAGGAAACAGAGTGAGAAACGTTTGGCTTGGGTGGGGAACTAAGGTATGTGGCATGAGGGACAAGCAGGCCAATTGGGTCTTCAACGCAAATGCTGTAAGAAGAGACTAGAGTGGACCGAACCCAAGCGCACTTGACCGATTTGTATTCCATCTTTTCATGGATCGAAGGTGGACTTCCGAATGTCTGGTAGTGAGTAGGCATCCAGTCGTGGATAGTGGTTTCAACGGCGGTGACTAGTCGTCCCACAAGTGCGTTTACAAGATCCCCACCATCACCGTCGTACATGGGGACACTGAGCACCGCGGTTACTGCTCATTGCAGGACTCTCTGACTACTCGATATCTTGGAACATATTTGGAGCCGATCAGGAAGTCATCATTTCAGAAAACTTGGTAGATGACCGGTTAATCTATTTATGGGGATACACAACGTTTCGCTTTTGACAAAAGTTGCATTAGGCGAAGTGAATTAACTTAACATTGGCATTTTATAACGATCATCGCTAAGCTACATACAGAGACTAGTCAATTTGCAGTTCATCGATGAAAGATTAAGACGGTCAAGGGTCACTAGGCTCGTGTGTACACTGGGGTTTGTTTAGTCAGGGTCAAATGGGGAAAAGAAATTGCTGGTCCGAGGATAGTTACATGTGTGGTCAGCACTCTCAAGTGATCCGTTGCAAGGAATTTGGTCACTGATACAACTTGGCCTTAGTACATCGGAATTTGGTGGAGTGTCGATAGTCCATTCCAATTTGGGATCCATTCACTGATGCTTATCAACCTGGCCTGAGTAAGACTGGACGCCAGGCACTAGACAGCCCTACTCCGTCTATTCTATTCACGCAGTTGTTAGCCTTGGTTATTTCTATAGCCTCAGCAATCAGGCTTTGTTTAGCTGATCGTAATCCCTTCCTGATAACCTCTACATTTTCGAAGTCAATTTCGTGCTCCGTGTCTAGCGCATGCATTGCTATTGCCAAAACTCTGAGTAGAGCTCCATACTCTAGTTCATTTCGCGGAGGTCGTGATATGTGTCGCCTATGTTTTGAAATCCTTGCATGTAATTCCCTCGCTGTTTGGCCTATATACACTTGCGTACAATCTGTACATGAAATTTTGTGAATGCAGTTAGTTGTTCCATCTAAAAGGAGTGAATCCTTCAGATTCATAAGCGTGGACCGTAGCGTTTGACGCTTCTGGAAAATTACCCTTATCTTCTCCCTATTCAGTACTCCCCGAATCGCTTCCGAAGTTCCTTCTTTATATGGAATACCCATTGTCACTATCCACTCTGTGGTTGGTGTTATGTGTGGGTTGAGACATTTCTTTAGCTGTTGTTTCACCACTCGTCTAGGATATCCGCTAGCTAATAAGCATTTTATCGTCACCCACTGCGCTGCTTTCTCATCTTCTTTCTTCGTGCACAAAGCACTTGCTCTGTGAAACAGTGGTGAGGCGGTTCCCGCGTACACGTGCTTTGGGTGGCTTGAACTATAGCTAAGTACCCCATCTGTGTCCAATGGTTTGCGATACATTGTCGTTTTTAACGTTTCTTCGCTCTTATGGACCAGACAATCAAGGGACGGAAGTGTAACGCTCTGCGAGTCAAGTTCCATGGTGAACTTTATCGCATCGTCAATGGAGTTCAAACAGTTTAAAAATTCCGCTTTTCTATCTCTTGTTATAATCGCAAAAGCGTCATCCACGTAGAGCCACCATACTTTCAGGGCGCCACGGAAATTTGGTAATGCCTTCTTTTCAAACTCTTCCATGTACATAATGGCTAATACGGGGAATATTGGCGATTCCATGACCAGACCCTGGAATATGAAATAAGTCATGCCGACACACAAAGCTATCCCCTCGACTAGTTGATCCACTGTCAGCTTTGTTCTGTCCTCTAAGCTGTTGTCCCCTATCAAGCAGCTTCTCGCTAATTGTAACGCCTCCTCCTTGGGTAAATTGGTGAACAAGGTGACATCGAAGCTGACCATCAACTCGTCTTGTTCGATGCTCATCCCTCGCACCATTGGTGCAAACTCATAAGAGTTTATTTTACAAATGTGCTCCCTGACTACGTGTGCAGAATCCTGTCGCAAATTGTGCCACCCACCGCTGGACTTAGCACGTCGTCGGGCGGGGTCACGAACACATGGTCGGTGGCATCGGCTGTTACCGGATTTCCCTGTCATTGTTGCCTCAATGGGGACAGTTACAGGACGTTTGTGCCTACAGAGAGGGATTATGGGTAGTTCGTGCTGCACCACTGATAAAGTGCGTGAAAACGACGTACCTATATCAACATATTCTCTATGACGCCCATTGAATATGTGACATTTCAACCGCAGCTAATATTTCATCTATTTCAAACCGCAGGCCATTAAGTAGCTCAGATACAAATGCATGCGAAGCACTTGCTGTCAGATAGGGCGAGTACGGCTGCTGAAGCGGAGTCCCTAAACGTGCCGCGGTTGGGAATAATAGGGATGTAACGAAGCCCTCGAAGTGAGTAAACATTACCACCTGATTGGAAGCTTAAAATGGCTGTGCAGTAGACAATCACACAATATGCTAGTCACTGCAGTTGTTGGCGAAATAGGTTCCAAAACTGGACCACTTTGGCCTCAGAAAAATGTTATATAACTTTGTCAACAGAAGAAAATTTTGAATTTACATAGCCCCCAACGGAATTCGACGGTATACAGCCGGAATAACATTGTTTATTACGGTGCATTTGCCAAGGTTTACAAGTGTACGCTCAGGTGTGGGCAACTAGGAATTGCTCGAACCCGACACCGAGGTTGTTTTGATTACTGACTCGGGCACACTGTTGGGATATTTCACCATTCGACGCTCGGACCATAGGCGAGTTATTCGTTTCAAATTCGGCACTACAAACTTGTACCGGTGCCCGCGAGTGCTGCTTGGTACGCGCATGTGGAGCAGCGGTCCTAGCATGAGGAAGTCCCTGATCCTGTGGATCAGTATGAGATAAACTTGAAAACAACGATAGGACAGGGTGCATAACTTTAGTATCCCGCAACGGTCTGCGTACGGGGAACCGCATCAAATGGAGGATGACACGAATCACTGCTGTTCCCTCGGTTGTCGGTTGCCAAGAACACACATGATCATCGCCCGCAGCAACACGGTGCAGAAATTCGGTTCTCCTTTCTTCGTATCGGCACAACAATGAACAAGTACGCATACATCTATCTCTCATTTCGAGTGCCACTTGTCACAGAACCCATTTATTTGGTGCTGATCTGACGATACAGAGAAACCAGTTGCAGAAGTGTAGTACGATCGTGCTAGTTGGACATCAAAGCGAATGAACCGACCCAAACTCGTTGTAAAGTGAATCGCCGCAGTCCCATCCACAGAACGGGAGTTTTAAACGGAATCCACAATGAGTCATGAACCCTTGTGACAAACGTAGCCGGTCGCGACCCAGTGATATTTCAGGTGTAAAGGTTTCGACTGGTATCCCAAAAGTTCAGAGTTCACGTTACGGTGCTGATGTCTTTCTATCTGTTGGGCACAAAAGAATCTGAAAGAGGTCATGTGGTGTAGTGCTATTGGCAGTCAACGCCTAGGACTTATCTGTTCCACTCGCAGACCCAGTGGCCACATCGAATGAAATTCGACTCAAAATGAATCGCGGACCATATCCATCCATTCACACAGCTGGCGCCCTAAATGAAATAAAGAACCTCATCTGCTATTTCTGTCTTGCGGTGCCGTAGCATTTCCTAAACTTTAGCAACAAGGTGTGAAGTTTTCATAGACCGAAATTCATCCGCCACAAATGCATCGCCATTTGAAGTCACGAACAGTCAGTGAGGCAGGTGGATAATCGGTGCTGCCCGCCAGAAAAAGCTGCACACCACGACGCGTTTCGACCTTATTCGACCTCATTAGATACACGCCATATATATCTAATGAAATCAAGTAACGTTGAAATGCGTTTTCAAGCGCATTGTTTTCGGGCATGCAACACCAAAGATCTATCTGCATCACCAGTTACCGTCCCAGTGATCGATTTGACCAAGGTTCATTTTAATGGGGATCGCGATCTACATTGAGATTGTGTGAACTTCAAAATGACCCTCCAATCAGTCATTGAAGTAATTTAAGAAATTTCAACATGTTATTATATCCCAGAATACATTTTGCCAGATTTCCCCATCACTGCCAGAGAAACGGAAAACGGGGCACTGTTCGAGATCATCATGAGTGGCAGTCTAGCAGTAATAAAAATGGATGCGTAGCTTCCATTCAGCATTACGACTTTGGAAGTGAAGAATAATAAAACGCGGGGGGGGGAGAGGTGACGTAAGACGTAATTGCTTTAGGTATGTATGTAATCTCAACGGTCTATCAACTAGACACAGAGCCAGCGCTTTAGGTGAAGACCAGTGAGGACGCTTACACCTTGTCAACAGCAGGATGTCATAACCACGACTAGTTGTCGTACGAAAACTAGGCGAAATTGGCGATCCAGCATCTATGTCATAAGCAATCGTACCCGCAGGTAAATCAGCATGGAACACACTTCAGAGAGGTGATCCGACTAGGAGACGGCAGAAAAGAGTAGTTGGGACCACCTGTCACCTGTGGCTTGCAAGGTGGAGGGCGATAAAGAACGCGGCGTTCACAGGTATCTCTTATATACTACTGCTCCCATAAATTCGACAAATACAGCCGCCATTAGTAGTGAAAGAGGCGTGAAAGCTGTGGTGTAAAAGACGGAACAGCCGACCGCGAGTGGTGAAAAGTAACTAAACAGAGGATATATCATCAATGTAACGAAGCGATGAGGTGGAGACGACAACAGCAGCAGATAAAGCAAGGCAGTGAAGAGATACAGCAGTGGCTACCAGTAAACATCTACTCCCACACTCTGTCAGTTACGCTGCTGCTTCATCAGCTACGGTCCTAGTGATCGAATAGCGAAGATTCACTTCAATGGGAATCGCGGTCCACTTTGAGATTGCGTGTCGCAATCCATGCACACAACGTGTACTTCAAATTGACTTTCCAATCTGTCATTAACCGTTGTGCCAAGCTTGGCCCGTCGTGACCCGGTGGCTTATGGGTAGCGGTCACAACTAACATCCCAATGGTCCCGGGTTCGATGCCTGCTATTTCTATCTGATGAGAGGAAATAACCTCGAAACGTGTCATGGAGTGTAGTGGTTTCAGGCGGGCAACACCCAATTTGCTGCTGCTTCATCAGCTACGGTCCTAGTGATCGAATGGCCAAGGTTCACTTCAATGGGAATCGCGGTCCACTTTGAGATTGCGCGTCGCAATCCATCCACACAACGTGTACTTCAAATTCACTTTCCAATCTGTTATTTGCCGTTGTGCCAAGCTTTGCCCGTCGTGACCCGGTGGCTTAGGGGTGGCGGTCACAACTAACATCTCAATGGTCCCGGGTTCGATGCCTGCTATCTCTATCTGATGAGAGGAAATAACCTCGAAACGCGTCATGGAGTGCAGTGGTTTCAGGCGGGCAACACCCAATTTGCTGCTGCTTCATTAGCTACGGTCCTAGTGATCGAATGGCCAAGGTTCACTTCAATGGGAATCGCGGTCCACTTTGAGATTGCGCGTCGCAATCCATCCACACAACGTGTACTTCACAAATTGACTTTCCAATCTAGTTTTGTTTTGTTTTGTGGTCACGCGCATCGCGGATGCGTGTTTATCGTCAACATCCGGACGTGAAGAACACCTCGCCACTAATGGTCCGTAGACTATGGATTCATTCGGTGGCGAAAGACCCTGCCCGCCAACCGATTTAGTCTCAGCGGGGATAGGAATGAAATGTGCGCCTATCCAGCAATAACATGACTGTGGTTGTGGTGGTTGTACAGCCTTCACTCTCAGAAACCGCTAGAATGGCTGATATCCCAAGGTCACCCACTTCGAGGGAAAGAAGTTGTGGTAAAAGTATTTACCGCCAGTGGGATACCGTTGTAACTCAGAAGTGCAACAACAGAATGCTTTTGAAGTCTACAACTAGAGGGCAGCGGTAGTTGAGTGACACATGAAAGTCCAGATTATTAAGGGAAACAAAAGCAAAGCGTAATGGGAAACAAACATTGTCTATCTCCGGTCTGTTTGTCACTCAAGTGAGGAAGAAGTATCTTTCATAGGAGGGTTTCCGAGTTCAACGTATGAACCGTACACAAACAAGTCGTGGGAGGATATAACTGAGGCGAATTGAATTCATCACATCTAGGTGGAATTTGGTTATCTTCGGTACGCACAAATGAAATGAAAACACAAACTACTCCAGCGATACCTTCACTCGTACTGCGTCAGGTAGATACGAACTGTATCAACTACGCACACTGAGAACCGAGGCACTATGCATCAGGGAAGTCGAAACATTGTATTGTGGACTGCGAGGAGCTCGAAGGTGAACTGAAGATATCTCGTGTGGCGAGCAAAAGCGCAATAGCATGACACTGTGGTGTCAAAAAGCATGATTTTTGCCTCCGAACCTATCACATGCGCAAGTGAAGCGTAAGATGTAACAAACAGAAAACGTTCAGATGTGCGCTATTATGAGAAATGCCGGCAAGGTAGATAATCCAACACGCCATGTGGTTCGTGTTCTTCAACATACAAGTACATTGACATTGGATCATGAAGAATTGGGTGCGTTTTTTTGGAGAACGTGCGACAAACTGACACAGCTTGAATGGGGAACATAATTTGAACAGGGGATGTGAGGATAGGAGAATACCATACACCGTGCATTCACAAGACAGTGAGACAACAGAAGACGGAGATACGAAAATCGCACGCACCCTTTAAGTTGCCTAAAACAGTGAGGCGCTTACCGGTAGAGAGTTCGGGAATTTCTGCCTGAAATGCATCCCCGATATTGATCCGTCTGGATGAGGGAGGAAGGGAGGACATGATAAGGCAGGTAAACAAAAACGCTCATAAAAGAAAAAAACATTAAGCGATAGCCAACAGTAGAGCGATTGCGGACAAGTGTTGCAGTCAGCCCCGTAAACTACAGTATCGAGGCTCATAATGAAAGACAAGAATGAGAAACTCTCAATGCGGCAATGTGCATACGCACTATCAAGGTCTTAAGCATCAACTGGTGACGGAGAAGAGGCAAATCAGCAAACGAACACCGCGGGTAGTGATCCAAGGGGGGTGGGGAGAGCACGAACGATCATGCGTATTCAGGCGTGGCTTATAGTGACGAGAATGAACAATTGATTTATGTATTCATGGATTAGCATGAATAAGTAGAGGATGATGAAAGAACCACATGAGTATGGTGTTACGGAGCAGATGGAGTGCCACGTTAAAGCAAATTTGGACTGAAATGATGACTGGAGGAGGCGTGGGCCAATTAGCTGAGCGCAAAATTCAGCAGCAATGGAAGCGCATATTTGGACTATAACCGAAAGTCGTTCTGTGTTATTCGGCTGAGAAAATACAGGAGATGCCAACAGGTGGATTTAATGAAGGTAAACAGTGGAGGTAAACCATCATCATTAGACACGTCAGCGGAAGGTGGAAAACACCTCAGCTATTGTGCCGCAATACAAAAGACAAGAAAAGGAAAACATACAGTGGTACGCCGGCTGAGTCCCCAGTAACGGATGGATATCGTTCCGGAGAGCTAGAAAGTGGCTATCGTGCCGCAAAAAGAGAGTCATATTATGCCTAATGAGTGAGATCGTGATTGGAGGGTGATGCTAAGCAGGACGGGGATGGACAAAGGAACTCACAACACAAACGCCAATGGGGCCGGCTCCAAGCCATATCAGCAAGTGTGTCCAACCAAACGTGTTCACCGTCCTTAGCACCCTAGCCAGGCAGTCGGGATGCACGAACCGACGCCAACGTCGAAGTGCGGGTTTTCATCTCTCTCGACCAAGTCATCGCTTGCCCCCCCCCTCCTCCTCTTCCAACCGCACTCAACGTGCAAACAATGCACGTTGCCGAAGTCGGTGTGCTGACATGCGCAACACGTGGCTCAACCATCGGAGCCTGGTGCGTGATATAATGGTCCTGAGCGGTTCACTCGCTCTTCCTGCACCAAATACGCGACGCCGAACACGCTCATTGCTCACGCGGTGTTCCCACCAGACATGAGCTAAGCTGTGAAGGCAGCAATGGTCGAATGTGACGAGCATCTTCATGTCTGTCGACCTGATGGGCCAGGTTTCACAACCATATAGGAGAGTTGAACGGACGGCTGCGTTGTAAACTCTGCCCTTCATGGCGAGAGTAATGTCGCGTCTGCGCCACAGGTGGCGGAGATTGGCAAAAGCACCACGAGTTTTTGCTATACGGTTCGTAATCTCATCTTCAATCCCACGGGTGCTAATATAGCAGCCCAGGTACTTGAATTCTTGAACGACTTCTAGCAGATCACCACAAAACGTTAGCGTACTTTGCATTTCGATGGAGCAAAGCGGAGGTAAACCGGAAACCGTCAGATCGGGAGTGGTGGTCGCGGCTATCACAATGACAGCGAAAACCAGTAAGATACCGCAGTTCCGCAAATCTCCAGTGATCCCCGCATTACTTCGCAATATAGCTGCTCAACTATGATGTGCATAAGAGTCGGTGCACTAGCAAAAGCTATTCTGAGGAACTGCACTTGTGACAAATTCAGGGTAGAACATCCTTAAAACCACCTTAGCTATGTGGAAAAAGATTATTCCAAAAGAAAGAAGTGTCTCATATGTTTCTCGGAAACAAGCGATATCTTAGGAAATTGTCAGCAAGGAAATTAGAAGCGGAGTTGAGAGGAATGAAAACGGCGACAAGGATCGAAAAGCCCAAATGAGCCTATAATGCCTCGTCAATGGTCCGAGTAAATGCTGGAAAAGAAGCACATGATTTTGAGTTGGATAAGATAGTATACCTACATAAGTATGTAGTCTGTTAACAGACATTGTGTCATCAAAACTACGGCAGAAGAAAAAATGGAGAAAATACAAAATGCAAACGATTTTTTGGTTTTCACACGCCATTTCGATGCGCTTGTTTTAGTCTAGTGAGCTTTTGGTGCGCATTAAAGGGGGGAGAAAATGGCGGAACAACATCGACGCCACTGATGTCTGTTGCGGGCCATGATGTCCAATGTCTCCAACTACTGAGATTCAGCATGTCGTGGTCCCCAACCTGAAAGACGAACTGGTCCGACTGCGCCGAACATGAGGTTGCCTTCTTCATGCTCCTTCGCCATGCCATTGGCTGTCCACTATGGTAGTTTTCTAATCACTCTCTAGGAGTGCAAACAGTGCTCGACGTGGAAGGCGATGGGCTAGCATGCGCAAAACGTGCCTGAGCCAATGCATGCGATGTCGAAGAATAACGTTCTGAAGACTGGCACTACTCGCTCCAAGCACTCGGTCTCGCACCCTGCGTTGCTTACGTGGTGTTGACACCACACCCGAGCAATCCTTCGTAGACAGCGATTGTCAAAGACTGACAGCCGCTTCATGTCCTCCGAGCGAATAGGCCAAGTCTCACAGCCGTACAGGGGTACTGCACGGACGGAAGCATTGTACACCCTGCCCTTGAGCTTGACACTGAGATCACGACGATGCCATAGGTGTCTCAGTTTGATGAATACAAGGCGGGCCTTTGCAATCCGTTGCGAGACTTCAACACCGCCACGAGCCGTGATGCAACTCCCTAGATAAGTAAAGCAAGGGACTTGCTCCAGAACATGCCCAGCAATGGTGAGCGTGGGTTCAGGTACCTGCCAGTCCTGGAGCAGCGTTTTACATTTTCCCGGAGTGAAACATAAGCCGTACTTAGACGCCTCCATTGCTAAGCGGTACAAAGCGCTCTGCACGGGTTGTGGGTCGTCCCCCAGCAAGGCGATGTCATCGGCGTAGTACAAGTCCGTGACTCTGTCTTCAGGGAGGAGCTCAACACCGCAGTGCTGCACACCTTCCAGTGCTCTTTGCACGGCATCTTCGATGACGAAATTGAAGAGGAAAGGTGATATACGGCAACCTTGGCGAACACCGCTAGTCACAGCAAACGAAGAAGCGAGCGTGCCGTAAGCCCTGACTTTGCCCGACGTGTGAATGTAAAGTTCGTTCAGGATGGTTACAAACTTGTCGGACACAGCTTTCTTCAGTGAAAAGTTCCACAACGCAGATCTGTCTACTGAATCAAATGCCGCTCGGATGTCCAAGAACACTAGGATTGTTGGCCGATAGACGGCAAAACAAAAGATACGAGGGCTGTCCATCAATAATCGCGAGATAACAAGGACAGATCGTCTGCGTGTATGGCGCTGTTACCGTACGTCTATGTGCAAGTGTACCAAGTGTAAGTGTATCCAAGTGGAGGAGGATACCGATTCCATTGGCATGGTTATCGGCAAGTCAGTGTGGAATAAAGCGGCGGTTGTTGATTAAGCCAGAAACCAGCGAGCCATAGCTACTCTTTAGCGGAGGAAGAGAGTCGTCGAGTCCAGGTGGTTTGTTTGATCTGAGCAGACTCAAATAGATGAGCAGTCTACATCGAGGAGAAATTCACGTGATTCAGCGAACGACGACTATTTGGTAGAAAGAGTGATGGTGCTTCAAAGGAATGCGTGGACGGACAGATAAGGAGGATGTTTAGAATAATCGGAATTTAGACCGCAGTATGGTTATCTGAGGAAAAATCTGATTGGAATGTCGCATCAAAGTAAAAACACCGGTTAGTGAAGGATCAAGGAGACGAAAGACTTACGGAACCAAACTACTCGGAACGCCTTCCTCCTCCTCCTCCTCATCTTCCATGAGTTGATCCTCATCGACGTATGCTCCCATCTCGATGGCCCGTTCATCCAATACAGCAAGGGGGTCCTCAACAAGGACCAGGGCGTCTTCCGACTGATAATTCATCGAAGTGTCGCCGTCCGGCTGCTCCAATTTGCACAACTTCTCTGGGACCTCATCCAACCCGGAGGACAGACATTCCGGATAGTCAATCAACGGGTCAGACGGATCTCGTGGAACTGTCTGATACCACCGAGCTCGATCAGCTGCATCTGCTTCAGCGAACCGACGCATCGTCTCATCGTCATAACCGAACACAGTGGTGGCACCAGTTTTGGAGACCGCAGGTAATTCGCACGATGCATCGGGAGCGTGTTCCTGTGACTAAAAAGAGTGGGAGAAAGACATGTAGTTTAAGCAAAAGGGAAGAGCCAAAACAAAAATAAGCTCACGACCAATGAGCCGAAAGACAAGTCGTCTGTCGCTGCCCAACTGTCAGGTGTTCAACGGGATGTTGGCGAATTGGCATCTTGCGTCAAAAGTGGCATGAAGCCGTCATCATGGCTCAATGGGCAAACCTAGTGCCTCACAACCTTCAACCGTAAGAAATCAGATGCAATGATAAACCGAAACAGGGACAAGAGCCGCAAAAAATGGACGACTACGAAGGTATCACAACTAACTCACAGACCCCGGGGTGCATGTGAAGCTTTGAATGGATCAGCCATAGTCTATTATGCAAAAAATACACCCTTATCATCATTGCAGACAATAACAACAGCAGCAACAACAAATAACTACGACCGTGAGATCGCAAGCAACAATAAGAGCAGCGAATGCGTTAGGATCCCGGTCGTCATTAGTAGTACACCGGTACTCTATACTGATACTGTATTTAACAGCAAGTAGAAAGGTTTCTGTACAACTCTATCGAATTATGAGAAAGCAAAAATATTTAATTGCGAATCATCAGCGGTAGTGTTAACTCAGTTTATGGTTATCTTCGTTCGGTTAGGAAATCGTATGGGTCTCATTATTTCCGGGTATTTGATATCTTTGTTGCACCGTTTCACAAAAGCACAACTGCGAAATAATCGTCGATACGTGTTTTAAAACACTTCACAGAATCGGCATCCATTACTCCTTCTGGTAGTGCATTCCATAAGTTTACGATTATTGGTTCTAAACAAAGCTGATGTGATATCTTGTTCATGCAGGGGACTCTAAGTTTGTAACGGTGTCCTCGGGTGTTATAGGGTTCCAGCTGGTGAAATATTAGCCGCAGTATGGGGAAGTGATTTAAATCTAGCACTCGATGGGTCATAATAAGGTCCATTCTTACTCGGTGGTAGGATAGTGTGTAGAGCCCGACACTTCCACAATGTTTTTCACACAGAAGCTTTCGTAGACTCGGTATCACCATAGTTGCGATATGCTGTATTTTCTCCAGCTGTTCAGTTCCCCACTGGGTTATCGGAAGGTAAACTGAGGCGCCGTATTCACGGAGTGGTCTCATGCGCGAGGTGAATAGGCGAGGGACGGTTTCTTCAGACCACGTGGAGAAAATGCGTCGTAATGCCCAGAGCATACGAAGTCCCACACGGTTTAATTTCTCTGTATGTTCTAGTGATCTCATATAATGTCGCGAGAGCATTCCTAAGTCTCTGACAGATGTGTTAGGGTGGAGCAACTGGCCGTCCAAGGTGTATGATCGAGTGGCTGCACGTCTGGCGATACTGATGAACTCCGACTTGCTTGCGTTATGGGGGAGTTGCACCTCAGTGGACCACGTTGACAGTCGATCTAAGTCATGCTGAAGGCCAGCGCAGTCATCCTGGTTAGCAATGATCCTCCAGATTATCAAATCATCTGCAAACACGGCACATGGTGACTTAAGCTGCTGTGGAAGATCCTTGATATGAATAAGATATAATACTGGTCCAAGTACAGTTCCTTGAGGCACGCCACTGGTAAATGAGAACCAGTCTGTCAGTTAAGCATTGTCCTGTACTTTAAACTTTTGTCCCACAATAAACTCGTGTAACCAATGAAGTAGCGTGCCACCGCTTCCGTAGGTCCTGAGTTTACCATGGATTACCTCGTGGTTCACTCTGCCAAACGCCTTACTAAAGTCGATGTACACCACATCAACGTCCTTCCTTTCCTTGAGAGCCCGTACCCACCGGTGGTTTGCGTACATCAAGTTGGTGATACAGGATCGTATTTTCGTAAAGCCGTGTTGCACTAGCGGCAATATGTCCATCGATCCGAAGAACGACAGCAGACACATTTTCACAACCTTCTCGAGGACTTTGGATAAAATCGAAGTCAAACAGTGGTCTATACTTCTCTACTTTACTCGGATCACCACACTTAGGAAGCGGTCTCACTATCGAACATTTCCAGAGAGAGATTTATTGAATAGGTTTGTCACATTCGATAGGGACTTGAGTATTAGTGGGTGAAGTCCGTCTGGTCCGGGGGGGGGGCTTTGTACCATCGAGGTTGACGAGTAGCTCATACACTTCGACTGTATAACATTGTAGGCTGTTGAGCAAGACTGCCGCAACCTGTGCCAGTACTGGAACAGCCGCCGCTTTACTGGAAAATACGGTGAGGAAGTGCGTAGCCAAGGCGTCCGCGCGCTCCGCGTTTGAAATGAGCGTCTGTCCGTCCAAGCTTTCTAAAATCGGTAGGTCGCCCCCAGGTTTCAGTTGACGTTTCAAGTAGGCAAATATCCTATTGGGTGCAGTTGTGGCCGTGGATGCTAGCTGCTCTTCAAACTGCCGGCGTTTCTTTATCTTTGCGGCGTTACATAAGTTTCGCTATTCCTTGTACGCCGTGTAATCTTGATCACAACCCGAGCCGATGTACCTATCCCAAAATTTGCGACGCCGTCACGCTAACTGTCTATATCCCCCAACAAACAAATGCGGTTTGACGGGTCCGACATTTGAATACTTCAGGGGAACGAACCGAGTACACAGCGAGCTAAGCTTCAAGTGACGCATCCTATGGTAGTGTCCAGTCAGTTTGACTTGCGGCTTGGACGAGTCGGTTGAAGCCCGTCTTCCAAGAGTTGAATGTCGACTTCGGTTGGTTGTAATACAGTAACGGCAGTTCTATGCTTGCCACAATGGAGCAGAGGTTCGAGGACTCTGATCTCGTTCAGCTTCGCTCGCAGCTCGTAAACGTTAGATTCAGGCAAGCAGCCGAGTGTGGTTACGCGGTTACGGATGTGAACTTTATGCCTTTCAGCCTTGACAGACGAGACAGTATGAGCTGCGGCATAGTGATTTGCGAAGGTGATTCTCAGAGGTCGACATGAATGGTTAATTTTCGGGCCAAGTCGGATTACTTGTTTAATCGTCACAGTGTCTGCCCACATTCAGGAGTCTATCGATGAGATCCTGGAGGAACTCAACCTAGTGATCATAACGTATCTGAGGGTTTTCATCTTTTAACTCGGGTAAGTGGAAGACCATGAGATGATGATACCTCAGCGAAATCGGTGATGAACCTGTGGGAGCAGGACTAGAGGCCCTTATCTGTTTCGATTGTTGTTTATCAGCAGCGGAGGCCTGAACTCGATTCCGTGATACTTGATTGACGTGCGAAACATGAATGCAGAAGAGAAATAATCAATCAGGGATAACAGGTGGGAACTAGCGTAAAACGCAAATACTCGAAGTAAAAATAGTCAGGACCAAGTCGCCCTAATCATCGGAATAACACATGGAAACAAACAGCTGAGTGCTGTGTGAAGTGGAAGTGACTCGCGGAGGCTAAAATTAACATCACAGAAAAATCAGCAGTATACATACCTTAAACAAACCATCTGGTCAAGTGATAACCACAAACATGCAACTAGTGTCTATCGCGAGTCATGAACTGAATGTTATCAAGTAGACACAGAGAGTGGAACTCGTCATAGGAAACTATGTGGACCAAATAAAGCCATTATAGTTGTCAGTTTTGCTTCCTTCCAGATAACATGCGAAGCTGTCAATGAACTGACTAAGGAAGACCGGTGAATAGCCGATAAACAGATTGCCCAAATACTGGACATATTGCAGAGATGCGTTGGATTTGTTATCTACTGTCCGCAACATGCGGAAGTTTTCAGCAAAGTGGGTGCCGAAATGTTTGACCAATGACCACAAACAGAACCGAGTTGACGCTTCCAAATTGAACACTTTGGGTTTCCAATTGGACTGTCACATCCATCAGACTATTATCTCTCCCCGAACTGGAGGATACATTTGAAAGTGCGACATTTTGAAGATATTTTTGACATCAAACGTGCTGTTAATAGCTGGTTTGGAGCACATCCAAGTGACTTGCACCTGACTTGTGTAGAAAAAATGCGAATATGCCGTACCGAATGTATTAGACCTAGGTAAATATGTTAAGTGTGTCATTTTATGACACTAGCACTCTTCTGTCTGGTCATAGCAACTGTCACGGATTGGGCGTCGTCGATGCAAGGCCGAACCAATTCTAGCTGGTCCACTTGGTCCAGGCAATTATCGTGGGCCGATATGGCCCCTCGTTCGCACAATCTAGGAGGCGATATCACACTTCTCAACAGCGAAGCATACTAAGACGTGTAAGACAGTGACTAGGCTAATGATGCCAAGTCTTGAGAATGTTAACTTTGCTTTGGCCGAACAATACGGTAAAAACTGGCAGAGGTACGAAGTCAAAGAGGCCACACTTCTGGGTCTTAGTTTTCAGAAAGAACATCGGCAACAGATTTTCCGAACATACATATAGAACGATCGCTGAAGTAACCGCAAGATTTTGAGAGACAATGAACCCACTGAAGCAAAGTGGCCGAAGGCATTGGCTACAGAAGAAATAAGTCAGTCTAACATGATTAAGAGGTTGTTGGGATACATCGAAGGACAGGGAACACGAAGCGGGCCGAAGATTAGTCGGTTTACCTATATTACCATAAGTATGCGGAGCAGGGGAGTGTTCGGAGCTAGGTTATGGCAGACAGCGAAGTTAGAAGGAGAGCAGCTGTTGGTCAGCTGCCGAAAGCACAAACACGAGACAGTGGACACAGCCGAACGCATGACGATTTATTCATCGGAAGCGAAGCGATCAAATGAGAAACAAAACAAGAATTTAAGTGTGATTACAACTCACTGAGTGACTGGGAGCCGCGATACTGGAAGAGTCTAACATCACAACGGGGGCGGACTTCGGAGTCTTTCGGTGTCGTCGAGAGGAGAATGCAAAGACTCTACCGTGCTCATCGACAGAATCCCGTGAAGAATATGTCGATCCGGCTGTGTGCGCGTTCGAAGAACGAACGAAACTGCTGGTGTAATTACGTTTAAGAGAGGTGCCCTCAGGTTCATCGCAAGTGTTCAACGAGTGGACTCTGGTAGAAGAGATATTGGAACGGCGCCGCAGAAGATCGCTGGAGGCTGATACTGCAGATGATGGACAATGGCTGGAACTGCGTCGATTGAAAAGGGCACCAGGTCGCACTGGACTAACGGTCGAACACCATTTAGTCAGTGAAGAGAAAAGACCTGAACCCGGCCGGTTTGGACTGAGCATCGGCGGGGGTGTGTAAGGGGGTGGGCTGGGATTAGTCGTCGTGCCATCGGAAGTCCACACACGAGGAGAACGCAGTCGGGACAAATTAGCGCCGGTCTATGGAGGAAAAAAAGCCACAAACGATTGACAGTAACAACGAAGGAGATACTGAACGAATACGTGACAACAAAGAAGTGAAAGAAGCGAAGTTCAACGTTACATGAGTCTGTTAAGCACCGGTTTACGGAGTTCTAACGCGAATGATAAATTATACAATTGTTCTTGCGTACTTGAATCGCTGCAGATGCAAAATAAACGTTACTGCAATAGGCCTAGTAAAATCGGCCGGAAAATCAAAACGAAATAGAATCCCCTAATGTAAGTATAATAATATATCAAGATGCTGCGCAGCATATAAATCCATGCAATGGAATCTTCTGAAGATCGATTAGATCGTGATCGACATATTCTTCACGCAGGTATTAAACTGACCAAGTCGACGCTGGTGTGCCTCATAGGTAATCAGAAACAAATTCTAATATAATTACAAGCCTTCTAATGTGTACATGTAATAAAAATAACAGTGGCTTTGCCATTAATGATTGAAACGTGATCATGTAGGTCGTTCCAAGGTAAGTGGTGTCATTAAGATCCAACGCAGGTCAGCGGGTGCGCGCTACTGACGAGTCCCAGCATGAAGAAATGGTCGCCTGGCACTTTCCTAGATGTATGACGGCTGTCTGCCTGAGTTTAGCTGCGACGAAGCTTCATCAGAACACATGGTAACTCACGGTAGTGAGAATGTAGCTATCATACCTCTGCTGAACAGAAATCGTACTGGTCGAACCGAAGCGTTGTGCATCCTGCCACTGGTCTCTCATGGACACTACTGCCTCATGTCGATCCAGCGCTCGATAGTATGCCCGTTTTCAGTTCCCAGGGGTAGATTAAAATACAAGGACATAACGAAATTTAAATGAGGGGCTGGTAAATCCTAGCGTCTTTTGCAGCTTTATCATAGCGTGCCCCGGATAGCCGATAATAACGGCCATGCGGCAATAGCTGCGGACCACAATGAGTTATAAGCTGACTGTGATATAGCGCGTCTTATCTTCCACTGCCAAGCAAGTTACGAATGTTACAGAGGACAGAGTTGGACCCGAGAGACAACAAGATACGGCACAGAATGCAGACGATGCTAGGGTGCATATTTTTGTGTACCTATGGCTTAGATACATAAGCTGCTGATAAGTGGTAGAAGTCCCTGGTGATCAGGGGTTCGGATCCCAATGGATGAGCACTACGGACGAGTTCCAACAGAACGAAACGGCCATCTGGTGCAATTCTGAGTATGCGGAGGACTATTTCGTTGGAAAGGCGCTGCGATGGGACCTCCAGTTAGTAACATCAAAAAACTTTACTCATGAGTACGACTCCACAAGTGAAAAGGCATAGCAACATCCTCAATAGTGTATCAATAGTTGGAACTGATACTCCGGTGCACTACAACTCGGATGGCCTAGAGAATAGGGATTACTAAGGGAGGGAACGTATTACATAAACTAAACGACCTAAGCAAACGAGCAGGTACAAGTACCAACATCCTGGAAACAAGACCAGAAACAACTAACTATTATGTGAAGATAAAGAGTTATTGCTGAGATAGTTTTATTGGGGGTTTCACTGATCTACACGGGTATCGGCTTTACACCATAGAAAACTCAATATCAGACACAAGGTAGACAGGCGACCTCCAGCCATATCATGTGAAGTCTCGAACCAAACGCAACATGGAAAGCATCATCATCATCATTATACACGTTAGCTGGAGGTGGAAAACACCTCAGCTATTGTGCCGCAATACAAAATATAAAAGGAAAACAAACAGTGGCACGACCGCTGAGCCTCCAGTAACGGATGGACATCGTTCCGAAGAGCTAACAGCGGCTCTAACAAGAGACATCGTGATTGGACAGGGATGTTAAGCAGGAGGGGGTGGCAAAGGAACTCACAACACAACGCCATTGGGGCCGGCTCCAAGCCATATCAGCAAGTGTGTCCAACCAAACGTGTTCACCGTCCTTAGGACCCCAGCCAGGCAGTACGGATACACCAACCGACGCCAACTTCGAAGTGAGGGTTTTCATTTCTCCCGACCAAGTCATCACTTGGCCTCTCCTCCTTCTCTTCCAAGCGCACCCACAACGCATAAACAATGCACGTCGCGGGAGTCGGTGTGCTGGCATGCGCAACACGTGGCCCAACCATCGGAGCCTGGTGCGTGATATAATGGTGCAGAGCGGTTCACTCGCTCTTCCTGCACCAAATACGCGATGTCGAACACGCTCATTGCTCACGCGGTGTTCCCACCAGACATGAGCTAAGCTGCGAAGGCAGCGATGATCGAATATGACGAGCCTCTTTATGTCTGTCGACCTGATGGGCCAGGTTTCACAACCATATAGGAGAGTTGAACGGACGGCTGCGTTGTAAACTCTGCCCTTCAGGGCGAGAGAAATGTTGCTTCTGCGCCACAGGTGGCGGAGATTGGCAAAAGCACCTCGAGCTTTTGCTATACGGTTCGTAACCTCCTCGTCGATCTCACGGGCACTAATATAGCTGCCCAGGTACTTGAATTCCTGAACGACTTCTAGCTGATCACCACCAAGCGTTAGCGCAGGGGTGGGTCCCTGCCAATCTTGGAGAAGTACTTTGCATTTCGATGGAGCAAAGCATAGCCCAAAACGATGGACAGCCATTGCTAATCGGTCCAGCGCTATTTGGCATGTTTGGGAGCTGTCACAGATTAGAGCTATATTGTCCGTATACTCCAAGTCAAGAAGTCGCTCACCAGGAAGTAGATCCACACCTTCTAGGTCGTGTCCAGCGAACGCTGTTTCCAAGACTTCATCAATAGCGAAGTTGAAGAGGAAAGGTGACAGCGGGCATCCTTGTCTCACACTGCTGATGATAGTGAAGGGTGGCGAGAGTTTGCCATAAACCCTCACCCTGCCCGAACTATGCGCGTACAGCGCTTTGATAATGGTTACATATTTATCAGGCACACCTTTCCTCAACAGAGCCAAAGGGCACAGCGATCGACTGAGTCGAAGGCACCTTTTATGTTAAGAAACACGACAACGGTGGGTCGCCAATAAACATGGCGGTGCTCCAACACTTGACGCAAGGTGAAGATGTGGTCGATGCAGCCCCGACCTCGACGAAATCCGGCTGCTCTTCACGAATCTGGCATTCACGAGTGTCAGTCAGTCTGTGGAGAATGACAGAGGCAAGCAATTTAGAGGCAATCGAAATCAGACTGACACAACATGGAAGGCAAGACGACCATATTTCCCTCCACTAAGACACATGAGCCATTAGTGAGGTGGGCATCAATCTATGCAGCGATGCGATAACTGGCGTGCGGTTTGAAATTTTGAAAAATCTCCCTCTTGAAGTTTTTGCCTTCAAATTTGGCTTGGAAGCGTATTCTAAAGAGACTGAGTGAGAAATCTTTACTCTGTTCCATCAATTATTGATCCATGATACCTTGGATCTTCGTTAACCGCGTGAGTTCGTCCCAGTATTGCTTCTCTTTGTGTTCCTTTTGGTCGTATTAATTCACTGTGTATACTGTTGTATATAATATGGTTGCAGATTATATTAACTTGCTGTGACTATTTACTCATGTTATACCGTCATACCCGCATCAATCTGATCATTTAATCCTACCAAACTACCTAGCTTTTTAGTATTTTATACGTGGCTGTTACGTACTATTCGCAATGACATCCGTGGCTAGCTATAAATGTGGTGAGCACACTTGTGGCGTTGAGGTCAAAGAGGGGAATTCAGTGCGACAGATGCTTGTTATGGTACCAGAACAATTGTTCCAGTTTAGACCAGGACTCTATTGAACTTCATGCCTGACACCCCCAATTAAAGTGGATTTGTTTCCACTGTGTGTGCTTAGCAGACATTCGTTCTCGCTTGATACACGATCGGACTTTTGATCCAATTACTCAGGTCTCAACTGTACATGATTCTGCTAGTAGAAACTGTGTGCAGAGACTAGACATTGCGGAGAAGTTGATTCGTGACCAGAGCTTGCTAATTGAGACATTGCGTTCAAAAGTCGACGAGTTGCAGTCTTCAACGGAATGTTACTTGCGAAGTGCAGAACTTGCTATGGGTAGACAATGAAACGTCCTTATCTACAATAGGGAGGAGCCAGTCATACGGAAGATAAAACTCTACGGGACCTAGATAGAAGGCGAGTGCACGATATCCTTCGCATAGCCGGAATACCGTTATACGTCGGTATCAAAAGAGTACATCGTGTTGGCAGCTGGAGAGAAACAGGTATGCTTCACCAACAAGGTTATGCAAGGCCTACTATCCTAGTTGAGTTTAGGAACCCTGTACACCGAGACCTTCTACTTAACAGGGCTGGGTTGGTTGCAAGTCAGACAAATGGTCGGTAACAAATAACAACAGACACACTAACTTCGAAGGCTAAAGCCTCTCGGATACCAGTTTGGCTAACGAATCTGCGGTCTCGCACGATAGAATTCGCGATAGTGAGCCACAAGTTACGCAGACACCTAATCAAACCGTTAGCGACTGCTCTTCTGTGGCAGTTGCAGTCAGCTGCTCTGGAAAACACTCCCCACAAGACGCCAGTGAAATAACTCGTGGCCTGCATTTGATGTGTACATCCTGCCATGGTTAAACCGCTGGCTGATAACCTTCAGTATCCTGTCGCGGAGGTATTCAACTAGTCTCTTCAAGAAAGCAAGCTGGCACGTGATTAGAAGGAGGCGACCATGGTTGCCACCCACAATGGGGGGGGGGTTATAAGTCGGTGCCTCTTAACTATAGACCTGTTAGTTTGACCAGCATCGTGCTGAAGTGCTTCGAAAAGCTTATAAGAAATAGGATCTGTGAGCACTTGACTGAACACAATCTAATTAGAGCGGAAAAGCATGGGATGCTTAAAAAGAAGTCGTGTCTTACCAATTTATTGTGCTTTTTAGATGAGATTACCCGATGTCTTGATAGTGGGATGTCGGTAGAGGTGTGCTATTTGGACTTCAGTAAAGCCCTTGACTCAGTGAATCATCGTTTTTTAATTGAGAAGCTGACATAGTTTGGATTGCATCCTCAACTATTACTGTGGCTCTCTGAATTCTTACGTGGAAGGACATTCAGAGTCAGGGTTGGGGAAGCGAGTTCTAGTGTTGGCCATGCCTACAGCGGTGTCCCCAAGGTTCGGTACTGGGTCCATTGTTGTTTCTTATGTTTATAAATGACCTGGCTCCTCTTCTTGAGGATCCCTGCTATATCTTCGCAGATGACTTAAAGCTAGTCAGTAGGGGAAACCGAGCGACATTGGCTAAGGACATCATCACTGTGGTGAATTGGTCGAGCCAATGGGATCTACCTCTAAATGCCAATAAATGTCAACTATTGACCAATAGTGGCAGCGGAATTGCAGTTCAGTCTCCTGCAGGATCTCTATCATTGCGGTGTACTGATGAAGCCCGCGATCTAGGTGTCATCGTAGTGAACAATTTTAAGCCTTCGGCACAGTGTCGCCATGCTGCCAATAAAGCGCGACAAGCGTTATTTCGTCTTAGGAGGGCGCTGAGTAACACTAAAGCAGAAGTTCACTTGCCGTTATATAAAGCAGTGGTTAGGCCACATCTGGAGTACTGTGTTCAGGCCTGGGCACCGTATCTCCGTAGTGACGCCATGTGTATAGAAAATTCAGAAACTCGCAAACAGATGATCGAAGGTCAACGAGGGAAGTCGTACGAAGATCGTCTAAGTAGCTTGGGATTATTTTCCTTGGAACGACGTAGATTGAGAGGGCATTTGA